AATTTTTTTGTTTGAATTTAATTGTAAATGTTTATAATATTATGATATTATTTTACTTCACTTTAAATAATTTTTTATAACGATATATATATATATATATATATATATCTTCATATTTTTTCATATGTAATGTACGTATATCATACAGAGTTAAGAGACTTGACTCATACTTGAAAATCAATTAATTAATTACTAAAAAATTCATGTGAGTTATTAATCGAGTTGTAATTTACAACTCAATTTGAACTTGGAATTTTTCGAGTCGATTAGAGTTTATTAAATTACAACTCAAAATCAATTCAAATCAAAATTTTTCGATTCAAAAGAATGATTTTTCGAGTGGAGTTGAGTTTTACACATCCATGTTAGTTGGTTTCGTTATCCTCCATAAAGCCAAGAATTCATGTTAACAACATAAAAGCAACAATCAGAGGTGAGGACCCTCGAGAAAGAAATAGGCTCTTCTGCCGAAAGATGCATTGAGTGTGAGCTCTTTGTCAAACAATATAATCAAAAATGTCCGAGACTGATGTGAAAGCCTATCTAAGACCTTAACCAATAATATCATACTATCTAAGACCTTAACCATTAATATCATAAAGTTTTTTAATATGATAACCCAAGTTATGATCTTGTAGTATTAATATAGGGTAAGCTTTTGAATAATTTTGGGGATACGTTCACTAGTTTGGAGACCAATTCAAATCGAGTCATAATTTATAGATGAATTTGAAATACTGAAAAAATTGATAATCAATTTAGAAAAAAAAATTATAATTTAAGAATGAAATTAGAATCTTCAAAAGTTTAGAAACCAATTTAGAAAGAAGATCATAATTTGAGAATATACGATTCAATTAACTCCAAAATAGTTTTAAAAATATAAAACATTCTAATATTAAATATATAAATATCCAATGTAAATTAAATCCCCTCAATTATTTATTTGACAAGCAGTTCATAAAATATGAAAAGCCAAATCATAACTCATAGACAAATTTCTAAAAGATGATGTTTCCCATTCCCATATAAGACATATTTCTAAAAGAAGAGGGGGTCACCTTTGATAAGGAAAGCACACTAAAGCAGGTCTTTGAAAACAAAAACAAATAACAAAAGGCTAATGTCAAGGAGCATAAAGGAATGAGCCGGGTCAGATTTGGTTTAGATAAAACTCTAAATATATAAAGAATAATTACATTATCTCGAATCAAATTAATTATTGTTCACTCTAAATTTAAATCCGACCAGGCTGTCCAATTATACCTTCTAAAAATCCCAATCACATAACCCATCCCATTGCATATTATATCATACAGCTCCACCCCTATTCATATCCCTGAGTAAGGCAGCTCTTTCATTGTCCAACACCAAGAGGACTTTCAAGTACCAAGTGGTCGTATGAGAAGTGAACTCGAGTATATTGCCAAAACCAAGGTACTAAACTAGAATATTTAGTTAAATGGGTCCAACATAAACAAAATTTAAAGTTGTGGGCAACCATAATATAAGTACCAATATTGTACCAAACAGAAAAGCAAAGAACCAATGGTAAATGAAGTTGTAGATTAACTAATAATATGCCAGTCAAGCCTTGAGCTTCCCATAGAACTTGGCCTTCTCCTGTGTTGTCTGGAAGCGACCATGACCAAACTTGGATGATGTATCAATGAACTTGAGCTTGATCTCCTCCAGAGCAACCCTAGAGGTTTGATGCAAGAGGGATTGCCTCAAAGTCACAACACGTTTCTTCGGCCCAACACAGCCGCCTTTGATCATCAAATAATCCTCTTTCACCACACCATAATGGGGGAATCCACCCATTGGGGTAATATCCTTTTCAGTCCTGAAATTTGGAGAAAATGAAGGGAATTAAAAAAATTACTTGGTTGCAACATTTAGCATAAGATGTAGATAACATGCTGGAAAAGAGGCGCTTGGCTAACCCGTCATATTCCGTCATGGCCGCATGTGACTCATGTCCAGCCTTTCCAAGCTTATACACTTTCTTATTCATCTCAGTGCGGTGATGGTAGCCGTTTTGCCCAGCCCTAGCAACAGTAAAAGAAACCCTAGCTGGATGCCATGCACCAATACAAGCAACCTTGCGAAGACCACGATGGGTCTTACGTGGGAGACGGGTGACACCCCATCTGGTCACCACGCCCTCATAGCCTTTACCCTTGGTCACCCCAATGATATCTATCATCTCATCCTTCTGAAACACAGCATCAACGGGAATAGGTTTCTCAAAGAAATTGTAAGCAAAGTCAACTTTCTGGGCAACAGTTCCACCATTGACTTGAATTTCCATTAAATGGGCCTTCTTCTGCTTCAAACCCTTCATTTTTCTAATCTATAGATATATATGAAATGGAAGACACCAAGGAAATCAGAAAACAATCATAAATAATTGGAAGAACTAAAACATAATTACACATTCTAGAACTGCTTGAGAGGAATATACCTGAGTGTGGGCCAAAACACGAATTACAGTGCAATATTTTTTCAATTTTTCCACCTGCAATTGAATGTCTTTTTTACCATCCTCAGTTTTAAACTTCTTTGAGTACTTGGTGAAAGCTTTCTTCTTAGACTTGCACCAGTGTTTATAATACCTTCGTTTCACCTCTTCACTCAGATACTGAGCCCACACGGTGCCGAGAGTACGGAGACCACGAGGAGTTTTGACATATCCAACAACTCCAACAACAACCATAGGTGGCGTCTCAATGATAGTAACGGCTTCACAAGTCTCCTTCTTGTGAAGTTCTGGAGGAAAGAACATAAATATATTAAACTAACCAGCTAAACATGGAGAATCAACCATGCAAGAAAGAATATAAATAGAACACTATAATTTCTTAAAGCAGTAAATATGGAAAAGACTATCTTGAATCCCACAATTTAAAAATCATGAGCTAGAGAAAGAAGAATTACTCGATCCAGGTTTTTCAACTTCCCTCACTATATGGGTCATCCCAGCTTTATATCCCAAGAATGCAGTTAAACTGCATGGCTTAGTTGGATCATCCTTTGGGAATGCCTTCACTGAACAACCACAAAAGGAGAAAGAGAAATCATAAAATTTTATTTAAAACAACCATAGAGGAAGTTATGATAGCTAGAACCTAAAATGTTCACTAAATAATTTGACATGTTGAACATAATAAGGGATAGTGTTGGCAATTACAACTTCACAAATATGTGGGATTAAAAGACAAACAATTAAAATAAATGGAGTTCTGCTCAGCAACATCTAGTGCAATGAGACAATTGAATAAGAGGGAAACTCAACAATATCACAAAGTAAATATCAAATGTTCCTAACAATTAAATGGGAAATACAGGAAAAAAAACCTTTTCCTCTATGGCGTGAGGCTCTTTTCCTTGGAAGAAATCCCAAAGAGCCATGCCTTGGATGCTCAAACTTGCGATGAGACATTTTTTCAATAATAAATACTCTGCAAAATTAAAAATAATTCAGTTCCATTTTTACCTTCAGCATAAGCATAATTCAAGCTAAAAGCATAATGGGGGGAAGTGATTTTTTTAGGTAGACCATTAGATCAAAACGAGAAAATATGAAGTTTTGAATCTGGATGGAAGCAAATCAATATCCTAGAGTTTTTTTTTTCGAAAATCCAATTACACAACTGTAAATCAAAACAGTATAATAAAGATTTAAACCCAGATGTATAAAAACATGAAGAACAACAGATCTAGCAAATCGAAAGTAAATGGATCCCAAGACCAAAGGCCTATGGCATGAACTTTAAGCACACCAATTCTCGGGCTCCTTTGGTATTTCTTCCCAAAACCCAATTTTCAGGGTTTTGGCGAGAAGAGCCCTTTTCGAGACTCCAGCCTTGATTTACTCAACAATGTCTTTTCATGGGGAAATCCATCCCAATCATCGCCAGAAACTGAAATTAATCAATATGTTTTCATACACCAAGAGCATTACCAAACAGTAAATCACGTAAAGGGCTAAACGGAAAAAAAATTCAGCAACAGGATTCAATAAGCTTGAAATGAAATTCGCAACGAAAATTGAAACGCTAATACCTCGAGATCTGAAAGAGAGGCAAATAGAGAATTAAAGAAGCTCGAGAGCGGCAATCAGCTTCTTCAATGTATAGAAACCCTACCTTGGTTTTGCTAGTGTATTTATAATATTTAAAGACGGCCATGATCAACCTTCATACGTTGGATATCGACCGTTAGATCCCCACGTCTAGGGCTATTATTGTTTTTTTGTGTTTCGAAATGAAATTGTAACTCTTCTGCGGCAACGGCGGTGGGCCGGACGAAGGGCCGCCGTCTGTCCAGTATTAAAATACGGGCTTCGCCCAATATATAGATGGATGGTCCTTTTATTCTAGAATCCAGCCCATCAATGGGACCAAACTCTAAGGCTTTTAAATTACTTTTGGATTTTTATATATAATAAAAAAGTAATATTTTTTTTAAAATTTATAAAATTCATGGTAACATTTTTCAATAGTCTTCGGTGATTATAAGATAATATATGTTCAGAACTTTATTATCCTTGGGACAACTTTCACACGCCCTGCAAATACAATTGTTTGAACTCGATATCTCTATAAATAATAATATTCTTTTTTACCCTTAAAACCACCTAACGAGTTTAAAATAATCTTTGATCAATATAAATTTAATGAAGTCGAATTTATATATTACCAAATATATTTGTGGTAGACCACCCACCGATAACCTATAACCCAAAGGATCTGTGTCACTTGGTATGCTAACAGTAATAATAATATAAATAATTAAAATGGCCACCCAACCACAACTACATTTTGCAATAGCAGCGCTGAAAATAGGTTAGCAGGTGAACTAACAAAGCCAAAATCGATCCATATACGTTTTGGCCTTGTTTTCCTCTCGAATTTTGGTATATAAACCAAGCACCAGCAATGTTTTCCTCACTTCCGATCACTCTTTGTTTCATACATTGGAAAGAATTTCTAGTAATGGCATCTTTCAATTGTTTCATCTTGGCCTTGTTTGCGGCACTGATGTTTTCCGGCATCGACGTCGGCCTAGCAGCTCGCCGTCTTCAGCAATTACCGCCCATGCCGACAACGGGGCTGCCGCAGCCTACGATACCGGCTTTACCGACACTGCCGAAACCCGGCTCACTACCAACACTTCCTAGCATTCCCAATTTGCCTACTGTCCCGAGGGTTACCCTGCCACCGTTGCCGAGCTTCCCTTCGATTCCCACGATTCCGACTACTATTCCCTCAATTCCGTTCCTCTCTCCACCGCCATCGACAACCAGTCCTTGAGAATGTATGCTTATTGTCAGTGCTTCGACGTACTTCCTTTTACTATGGTGATAAGAGTCCTATTGTTTTTATGTTTGACATTGCTTCTATCATCTTATATTCCTATTTCTTGTACCTTGTGATTTCTATTATATGAATTATGTTTAGTGTTTGAATACATCACGAACGAACACAAAAATTTATGTTGCGTGTGATGAACGTTTACAATTTTAAGAGAGAAAATTTTACGTTATATGTGATGAACGTTTAAAATTTTAAGAGAAATGAATTTACAAAATTTTAGATTTTTCTGCTTATTTGTGTAAGCAAAATTTGGTTTTTTTTTCTTACACACTGCAACCATTTACAACTAACCATTAACCCAAAGATTACTTCTTTAATTTCTAACAATATTAGTTATTCTTCCCTCGTAAAATATCCTAGTTTAAAATAACAAAAATAAATTTTGAATCGAATCAAATTAAATTTAAACACGTGTATATTTAAAAAAAGAGAGAGAGACAACGATATAAAAATAACAACGTTACCTTTTGCGGCGTTAGTTTTAGCAGCGCTTTTTGCGGCGTTTTTACATACGCCAGGAAAGTTTTTAACGGCGCTTAAAAACGCCGTTATAGAACTAAAAAACGCTGCTAAAACCCTATTTTGCTGTAGTAATTTGATAATCTACTTATTTAAAGTCTTAATTTTTATATAAAATAAAATTTTATAATTTATTTAAATTATAAGAATTCAATTCTACTTAAATATAAAAATAAATTACTTATTTATTCAAAAAATATTTGATTAATTTAAAATATATATATATATATATATATATATATATATATATATATATTCTTGAATTTTATTCATCCCTAATCACATTATGACAACAAAGAAAATAAGAATGAGAACCAGATTTCAACCCTGCATCTACTAAATAATTTCTTGGATATTATAAAAATGTTACTAAAATTTTGTCAAACTTTAAATAATAAACAAAAACCCAATTTTTTTCTTTATTACAATCTTTAAAAAGAATATCAAGCAAGATTGTTAGTGAAGCTTTGATTTATTGTATATAATAAAGAGAGAAATCTGAGTCTTAATTTAATATTAAAGCGTATTTTCTTAACTGTATATTAAGACTGTCGTACGACAGAACTTCCCGATGGGAAGGAAGACTACTTGCTTAAACTTTTTTTACTATTTGAGTTTTATAATATAGGTTCCGTTCAAATTTAAGACTCGCAGTATTTTTATGACTCACGTAAAAGTAGGTGTTCAAACTATGTAATTGTTTATGTGGATAAAAAAATTGTTTAAAATTGATGTCTAACGTTTTCAATGTTATACTTTCAGGTGTTTGAACTGTAATAATCGTTAAATATGATCATTCTCTAGTTAGTCATATAGAATTTTAATCTTTTACTAAAAAACACTTAAAGTTATTATTTAAATAAAACTCAAAATCTCGAAAAATCCTAATTTCAATCTTCTTACCACCACTTGCCGCTATTACCATTCGGGTTGAAATCTTGATGTCTCGCGACCGCCCGTTGTGAATTTTGATTAAGAGTGATGATTTCAACGATTCAAGCAACAACAAAAATTCTTTTAAGTACCTGAAATTCATTTTAGATTATACCTATTTATTTTTGTTCCGGATTATAAAACTCACAATATATGAAGATAATATAGTACTAAATTTACAAAATTATGCTAGCAGTGAATTGGTAGATGACCAAATACGACACCAAATATTTTAACTGCTTTCTCCGCTCTGACACGGTACCGAACACCGTCGGCTTCTTCTTTGTCCGTGTAAAACGCAACTCTGTCGCCGATACAAAGCTGTTTGGTGCGAACGAACTCTAGCCATCCCTTGGTAAGAACAGGCTTCCGGTACTTTTTGTTCGTACGAGTGTAAATTCGGAACTTCCAAACACGGCGGCGCTCGTCTCTTGCACGAAAATCCACCGCATGCTTATCTCCACTTAAAGGAGGGAAAGACTCAAGGGACTTGTTCGGGAGGTTCATTCGTATCTGGATATCAGTCCTACTAAGCAACTTCGAGATGATTGGCGCCATTGAAGGCCGGCGTAAAAGGCGTTGTTGCGGTTGTCTGTTGCTGCCTGCCGCTGTCGGAGGGAGGGTGTTCCTCCGCTCCGCTATTTATGAATCAAAAATATTGGTGGGTTCCCATGGACGTGTTTTCCAAGTGGATTCGCTTTGTTGATTTTGATCCCCTTGGCAATTACGGGGAGATTTCCGTACATGTTTCTCCTCAACGACGACGGCAATATTCTTGCCATTGCCAATTCTTTAACGTAACGTTTTGATATATATATATATATATATATATATATATATATAAGGTTGAATATTTAGATTAGAGGAGGACTGTACGAACTAACCGACTTCGGTGATTAAGGAATTATTATCATTTAAAGTCTTATGTTTGAGCATGACGTATGTAAATGTGTATCAATATACGAGAGTTCATTGTTAAAATGGTTGAGACTCTGTCGAACAGATGATAACTTGTAGTCATCAAGGTTCAGTGGAAAAAATACATTTAAAACTGTTGAGGCGGGAGAGGAGAGGAGGGGAGGAATAAGATGGTAGTAGTGGTCGTGGGTATTTGAAAAAAAATAGAAATTAAAAATTTTGGGGATAAATTAGATATAAAATTATTGTTTAATGATCTATTTGATGTTTTAGTACTAATTTATGGGGTAGAATTAAATATTAATCTTTTTGTTAACGTTGCCACATCATCAATTTAACGGGATGATTTTAGAGTGACAATTCTGTTACAAATCGATAACATTAGTGATCAATTTATAAACTTCAATAAAGAAAACGAAAATTCACTCAAATTTTAGTAACTATTGGTGTAGTTTAACAAATATTAATTTCAATAACAATGATACTAGAAATCAAAATCAGGCAATTCAAACCAAACCAACCGTGGTTGGTTCAAGTGGTAAGAAATTTGATATGGCTTAAACATGTCTCAAATTCGGATCCTTGTATATATAGAAAATCCACGCGATAAGACTAACTCGCCAAAGTCAAGTGTGTGACGCAAGTCAGTTCAAATTAATTAAGACGAAACTCTAAAACCGAGAGGGCAATAAAAGTATCAATCAATTCAGAATTCGGTTCCGAGTAGTTTATAAGAGAATACGAGTTATGTTTATGTTAGAAATCATCTGTAACAATAGGGATAAAGTTTCTCCTTAAATTTCTCAAATTATGATTTTAATGGGAATAAGTGTGAGGAATGGAAATTCTTTGGTTTGCTTCTTGAAACCGAAATTCGGTAAGATATTGAATTTTTGTGAAAGTAAAAGAAGGGATAATGATGTTGGCAATCTATTGTGTGAAGGTTGAATGGTGGACTGCGGGAAGATAGAACACATGGACTAAATTGAAACGATACTAAAATGTTAAAGTTAAATTTTTAGAATTAGGATCGAATTATAATAAATGTAGAAGTTGAAAGTTATATTTGTTATTATATCAATTTTATTAATTATTACATCATATTCTGTTAAATTTTTAATAGAGATTGACTAATTTATCATTATTTTTAAATCAATTGATCATTATATAATTTTTCGTAATCAAGGGATTAACAAAAAAAAAATCTATAACTAGAAGACTATTTACAAGTTTTACCCTATTTTAAAAGTTTTAATAATAAGAAATTATTATTATTATTATTATTATTATTATTATTATTATTATATGATAAAATTCCTATCATTATTTTGATAGGAATTCAATTTAGTCCTAACTTGATTGATTGCTATGTTCTAAATTAAGAAATTGTAAAAATAGCATGATGACTAGTCGAGGTGAGATAATTTTATTCCTAATATATATGGTTTTAATGTTGTTTTTCCAATGAAAATTAATAAGTTTTATTCATTACAATTAGGTTTGTGAACTTTTAGAATATTTCAATTTAGTCCTCAACCATAATTTCAAGTTGAAATTCCTTAATAATTGGTTAATAAGAGTAATTGAAATATGCTTCAAGGTTGAGAGTCAACCCATGATTTCTATTCATGTTTGATTCCAATTAAATTATGAAAACACCTTCGATTTAATTTCTATTTAAATCTAGTTGAGGGTGTCACAAGACCGATTGATAATGTAACATTCTAAGCTTGATTCACAAGATCCAATGGGAGAAGCACCAATCTTCTGGAGATTAAATTATGAAAACACCTTCGATTTAATTTCTATTTAAATTAGTGAGGGTGTCACAAGACCGATTGATAATGTAACATTCTAAGCTTGATTCACAAGATCCAATGGGAGAAGCACCAATCTTCTGGAGATCAGAACCCAAATTAAATATGAAAACACCTTCGATTTAATTTCTATTTAAATTAGTTGGGTGTCACAAGACCGATTGATAATGTAACATTCTAAGCTTGATTCACAAGATCCAATGGGAGAAGCACCAATCTTCTGGAGATCAGAACCCAAAATATTTGAAGATCCACCAATCTTCTGGAGAAGCATTTCCATGTTTGAAGTCAACCGAGCTATGTGGTTTTCCATACGGGAATGTTTTTCCTCCATGGCCTCCATTTTTTTCACTGCCATCTTAAGCACCTCTTCATTTGCAGAACTAGATCCAACTCCCACATTTCAACCGTCAACACCAATAGTTTCTTTAATATCGACGAATACTTTGCTCCGTATCTCCGTCATAACAACCACCGTCAACCACTACTTTGCAATGTCGGAAGCGTCGATGCGACCGAGAGCTGCGGTTTCCAAGCAGACATCTCAATCAATAGATGGCAGCAGCGGGCAGCGGGCATGGCCGTGAAACATAACATTCTCAATCACAGCAGCCTAATTTATCTCGACGGGCACTCTCGCAAACCTTGACGGGACGGCAAACTTGGCCAATATCCTCCCTACAGGCACGCTGTTAGCTTTGCAACTGCTGGTGCCGGTTTTCACCAACAACGGGTCGTGTGATCCCGCCACGCGCCATGACGGTCCTCCTCCTCCTGGCCCTTTCCTGTTTCCTCTCCTGCTTCACCGACAGCGAGGCATCCATGGCCGGTTCAATAAGTTTTAATGCCCTGGGCGAAATAATAATTTTATGCCCCTATACTTATACCGTATAATAGACAAAACATAAATAATTTTTTTTAAAACAAAAATGTAATATAAATTATAGTCAAACAATATTAATACTAATACAAACCAAAACCTACAAAGGATAATTGATTAAGCAACATCTGGTGTCTGCACTTTCAAGGGAGAATTAATTTTTTTTTATCTTCGTCGCCTACCCTAAACCTTCCATCGACCGATCAGGTGTTTTGGACTAATTTTTTTGGGCCAAATATATATATACACACTATGCACTAGAAAACTGATGCCCCTCAAACATGCTGACTTGGACTAAGGCCTATCTGGCACATATATTGGGCCGAGCTTGGAGGCATCCGACGTGTGAGAAAGGAGACATAGTGACTAGAAGATGAACGAAAAGTAAATGAGATGAGAAGCAGTAAAAGAGGCAATTCTGTTTACTAAATGTGAAAGAAATGATTTATAAAATGCTTGAGTCTTTAACCTATTATAAATATAAACAGTACTTATATAGCACCACTTAACCAAATTTAACAACTTGATCTAACAAACTAACCAACCATTAACAAACTCAGTTAATTTTGACTAAACCAATACCAACTAATTACATTCTATTATATTATATTTTTAACACGACGGATGAGTTTATTACGGTTTTGCGACGTTCAAAGGGTTGTCCTTGTTTGACTACCCCGATCCTAAGGATTCGAGTTTGGCCGATTTGAGCAAGTATAGACTCAAGTTTATCGATGGAGTTCACTCTGTTTTGTCGGTGTTCGTGTTTGGTGCAGTAGGCTTTGAGAGACAAGAATGTCTTGAACTGCTTCTATCCGACACCTGAACATGAAACCGAGGAGGTTTTGAGCATTGCACCGGTCGGAGTTTGGCTGATTTGCAGCTTATTGTTCGTGGTTTTTCCGACCACAAGGCATGGAATTGGCTATCCAATCACGACAAGAAAATAGTTGATAATTTATTTTGCTCATCAAACCGTCGAATTCGAACAGTGAAATTTGGGATTTCATGACTTGATCTGTGGATTCTATAGATTAATGTCGAACAGTGAATTTTTTTTTAAAAAAATTCATTTAGAATTTGCTGAAGTTGCACTCCACGTAAGACGGACACTTGACGTTTGAAACGATATGTATCAATAGAAAAACCAAGATATATGGATATCATTGAAACCATTGAACATATTTTTTATTGAAGAATTTAATTTTATTAAAAATATAGAATATTTAAATTACAATTAATTACAATCGTACATATATTTAAGATATTTTTTTAAACGATAAAACTAGTCAATTAAGATCACAATGATCATACAAAGAAAATGTTAAAAAAAACTTAACCAAATAAACTCATATAAAGGATAGATACAAACAGACCTGACCGCATCGGCAAACGAACCACAAAAGGGGATAAACCTATGGAAAGACCAACGACAAATAGCAAATCAAATTTGAGCGACGTGAAAAATATTTTTTATTGATTCGAGTGTGTTTAATTGTGTATCATCTTTTTATATAATTAATTATATTTTTTAGGGTTTAAAGACAAATTTAGGAATGTATTATAAGAAAGGAAAGTACATATATATAGAAAATACAAAATTTCTTTGCAAGCCAATTTGTATTGTATTTTTCCATAAAAAAAGATTTAACAAACTAAGTGGGATTTTACATTAAATACAGATTCACAAATGGATGGGATTTTACATTGCTATTAGGCTATATAAAGAGGAATTCATGGACGTTTTAGGGCACACACTTGATCATCTGCAGTTCTGATTTCTAATCCATATAACACACGAAGATGGCTAGGTTTTCATGGGCTCCCTTTGCCTTCTTCTTCGTCCTCGCTGTTTTCACTTTCGCCATCCAAACAGTAAATGTATTGCTCTTATCCTTCTCGGTGAACGTTGATTTATAAACTATGAATTTCATCTCTCTAACTCCACTCGTTTCATGTCCACAGGCTGGCGGGGAAGGATCACTTCGCCTCCAAGGTACAAAGCATTATAATTCAAATTTCCATTTTCTATTACCTTGTCACGTTCGATCATAGCAATTCGATTCACTGAAAGTTTTATTATGCATGTAGATTGTCCGAACGCATGCAACGTTCGGTGTTCGCAGACACAGTATAAGAGTGCGTGTTTGGAGTTCTGCAACTACTGTTGTAAGAGGTGTTTGTGTGTTCCTTCGGGCTTTTATGGCCACACCGGGGAATGTCCATGCTACGACAACATCAAGACCAAGGAAGGCAAAAATAAATGTCCTTGATTTTGTTAATTACGAAATAATATGATTAATTTTCAATTGAAGACGTTACAATAACTTGAGGTGTTGAAAATTTTATCTTGCAATAATATGCTACCATTTAATTCCGATTACATGGTTTTGTCGCTATATTTTAGAAAATATAGTCCCTATACTAATAAAAATAATCAAACGAGGTCAAGCTTTTACTAGTTTAGCATTGATGTTTAAGAAATGACTGATTCTCCAAACAAAAAATTTCATTTGCGGAACCATAAAAGTTGTAACAATAATTGGCCTTACTTGATTCTTTTCAAGAGCACACGGACCAAACTGATCCATTTGATAGTAGAGAAATTAATTTGAACATTTTCAATAATAGATAGACTAAACTGATATAATACTTATAATAGGGGGACTAAATAGATCATGTTATCGAAGAACATTATTATCAAAATACATATTCATGATGATGAAATACAACCACTGCCGGACAAAATAATCAGCAAAAATAATGTTCTCAACCATGCTTACTTGAATTACAATATTTTCTTACATTCTACATAGCAGTTTTTTTTTTGCCATATATACCGTATTCACTAAAGTCAAGTGTGCGACCTGGATCGATTCAGATTAGTCAAGACAAAGCCTTAGAATGAGAGGTTAACAAAAAAAAACCCTAATAGATTTTTGGGTGAACTACACATTTAGTACCTAAACTATCAGATTTGTTTTGATTGTTTTTAATACATAAACTTTCATTTGTTTCAAAACCATACGTGATGTTTATTTTTTTGTTTCATTTTAGTAACCCGTCGTTAAAAACTTAGCGGCACTATATTTTTTATGGGTAAATTATATCATTCTTCACTCAACTATCTTCTCACTCCTATTTTGGTCTCTAAAATTTAAAATTTATTTAGTTTAACTACTCAACTTTCAAATTACTCATGTTTTAATCACTCTAATTTATTTTATTAATAATTTTTGTGACATGAAATTTTATCAATATATAATTATAATTAAAAAATAAATTTGTAAGTTAGAGTGATTAAAATAGGAATAATTTAAAAGTTAAGTAATTAAATTAAAAAAATTAAACTTTAGTGATCAAAATAAGAGTAAAAATATAGTTAAGTGGTGAATGATATAATTTACACATAAAAAGGTAGAATATATTGTTAAGTTTTTGACGGCGAGGTACTAAAACGAAACAAAAAAATTGATAGTTTAGGTACTACATATATAGTTTACACTAGATATTTTTAACTTCTATTTGGTTGCCAAATATATTTTTATATATTATTAGGCATATAAATACGTGAATAAATTTTTCTTGTGTTTGTAACTAAAAAGTGGGCCTTTGAGTATTTATTCTTTTAGATTGAAATTTTGAAATATCTAATCTCATAACATATTTATGTTGTTTTCATATATATATATATATATGATTTCATCAAGAATTTAACGTCATTGTTAAGTTTTTAACGATCAATATTTTAAAATAAAAAGATAAACGTTAGTGATGCTATTTTTTTAAGCTTTTATATTATGCTACATATACGGGCTCAATGGTATGCAGCTCGACGATGTGCTCATTTCATTTCTTGATGCAATTCCTTGTGGAGTAAGGTTGCCTTAGATGATGAGAAGATAATCTTATTAAGAGTATAGGGACCAAATTGATCCATCTAATAGTAGAGAGATTAATTTGAAAATTTTCAATAATAGATAGATTAAATTGATCCATTCAATAGTAGAGGGACTAAACTGTTATAATATCTATAATAGAGGGACTTGGCAGCTACTTTCACCGAAATTCTGGACTCAAGGACAAGGACCCTTAGGCATTTTTACATGAATAAAACTACAGTTGCAGTGGGTGAATGCATAAAAGAACCTACCATGTAACAAAGAAACTGCATCGTTCCTGATCGAATTAGGTAACCTGAGAGGGCAAGAGTAGAGTGGAAGAACATGAAGGTTTTGGCAGTTGCAAATCTCAACCATGTAACCATCTGGATTATGGAAGAAAAACTGATCTACTTGAATGCCTCATCCTTCCACTATGGCCGCCATGTACCATTATAATTGCTTCGAATTTCGGCATCACCAGCTTCATGTCGGAGCATTGGATTTTGGAATGAAGTATTGTTGTCTTTATGATTGATTTTCTTCTTTCTTTGCTGCCGGAACACTTACAAATTCAAGCAAACGGATGCCGATTCCATAGTCGCACAAGCTGAAATAGTAATCGTCATCATTCAATGAAATCAAACACAATCAATTCCTGCATCTAACAATTAAGGGTCGATCCCCTTGGTTTATTGAAAGAAACAAAAGAAAGGGTCTCAATTTTTTAGGCACATAAAATGCAGAAACTAAAATACATGTGAAGAGTGAATGAACCAGAAGGCTGACGCATGCCAAGCTCCTTCAAAGTTGAAAGAAGGCGTTTGAAATATAACAAATCCCGACACTTGCTCATAAAACCTGACTTACTCATTGATTTGCAGACAAAAGAAACATGGTTCAGAGACAAAAATGGCAACACTGTTGTTGGTGAGGTTGACATTGAATAAGGCAGCCATTGCATCTCTTGTATTTCTCCTACATTTCCCATACTTTCTCTTCCTTTCTTTCTCAACAATTCTCTCGTCTGGAATGTTGTAATGAAACCATGCAAACTGCACAAGTATGCTTTGCCAAATGGGATGTATGATAAGCTCTTTTATAAAGGATTAAAGCTTTATTGTGAGAAAAATATGTTCAATATTTTGATTTTCTTAGAGAGAAAAAAAAAGCAAAGCCAACTGTATCATTAAAAAAATTAACTCGACATATTTTGCTACGCACATGTCGAGGTTTATGCTTCTTTCTCTCACAGTTCAAACGCATCGATAGTTGAAGAAAGTACATGCAGTCAAGCTTGCTATAGCAGAATTCTGAACTTCCTTGCCTCAAGCTTGTGACCCTAATATCATATTTATCTTTTTTCATATCTTGGTGTATCCTTTTCATACTAAATAACAATTACCTTTGTTTTAAAATTCTCGTCATCGGAACCATCGTAAAACTCTGAACTAGATGACACATTTGAATCCTTATTTTCCTCCAAACTCTTACTGCCTTCTTTCATAACTTCTCCTTCATCGGCATACCGCATCACCTTTCTTTTCCTCCTGAACAAGCGAACACCATCTCCCTTTCGAAACTTATCCGACTTATTCATAAGATGAATATACCTAAACCGCATACCCATCAAGGGATGCTTCTCCATCAAGAAATCTTTCCTATAAGCTTCCTTAAGCACCACGGTCTGTGTCCTGATCTTATTTGACATATAGAATATCCCCGGAAAATGCTTCACCGCCTTCTCAAATCGATTCTCGAACCCCAAATACTCTCCCAAAGAATACACATTCTTCCCTTCAGTCTTCTTCGACACCAAGAGCCACAACAACTCGTGAAGCACAGCCACGGTCCATTTCTCCGCCTGGTCACTCTTGGGGCCTAAGTGAAACGCGTTCTCATAAGGCGAAATGTAAGGCAAATCCTGCCATGTTTCAACCCAATCCTTCACCTTCTTCTCTAAATCAAACCCATTGGGAAATTTCATCGAAAACCTCAAGGGCAACCCTTTTTTCAATTTCACTTGGCCATAAAACGACGCTCTCTTTTCCATTTCAGAAATAGCAAGCTCATCCCTCCAAGAAACAAGCTCTAAAAAAAGGGTTTCTTTTCCATCACAAGGGTCTTTATATTCGCAAACATGGAAATATTCAGGATAATCAGAGAGAAGAAAAGTAATGTAATTCGAGGTAAGGCCGAGATCAAATTTGAACTTGTCTACGATATGCAAAGGCAGCCTACCTGTTTTAGTCAGCATCAACAACTTTGCCAACCGGTTTACGGTGTCGTTTCTGTGGGAGGGAGAGGTGTGAATGGCTAGCTCCTCCTTGTTCAGAGCCACGGCTTGAGGGGCGAGCTTGACGTGGAGAGGAATAGAAGGAGAGGGCTGGAATTGGGAGAAAATGGAAGGATACTTGTGAAAAAGCTTGGAGGCAGAGGTGGGGAGATTGAAGTGGGATTTGAGAGGGGAGAGAGAGGAAAGGGGAAGGGATTTGGAGGGAGAAGAGAAGATTTGGTTTTTGAGGGAAAGGATTTCTTTGAGGTTTTTCTCCCTTTCGACGGCGGTGTCGAGGTAAGGGTCACGAACCCATTTGATCCTGGCGTCCACGAAGTTACGGACCAGAACCAGCCGGTGAGGGACTCTGGTGCGAACCGCCATGGTAGTCATCTCGATGCAGTCTGCGTATGAATTTTCAATTTTTGATCCAAGTAAATCTAGGTATGGCAATAGTGGGATTTTTGCTCATATGAATCTGCCCATATAGTAGTATAGCTCAGCCGGTTGAACACGTAGTTTTTAATCTCATGGTCGTGGGTTCGATTCACCTGGCTGAACCTTTAATGTTTAATTAGTATCCACACAATTGGTTTTCGTTTTTCACTTGTTTCTGAGAGGGGGGGGGGGGGGAACAAAAGCTTTTCCTCTTAGCTTTCCATTTCTTTCCAAACATCAATGAAGGTATTGCGAGCCCGCCATCTCCCCTACGATCTTCTTTTCCGATGACTTGCTTTAATCCCCGTCTCACATTATTTCCTCGCCGCTTTCTATCTATTCCTCGTTTTTTGGTACAACTTTTTGGAGATCCATTTTCTTCACGATTTACTCGCTCTTTTCAGAGGCGATCCAGTTACGTTAACTTACAACTCCTGCTCCGACCTCGGCCGATCATCGCCGCCAACTGTAAGATACTCCAACAAAGGTAACATTATTACTTTTACAAAAACGGAAAGATTAATCCTAAAATTTAATTTGAACAGTTTACTCAATACATATAAATTATTGAACTGAACTGCTAATTTTTGTTAGTTTTTTGCATTATTGAGCTGCTGATTTTCATATTTGCTATTTACCAATAAGGTTTAGTGTTAACTGAACTTTTTTTTTCTTCTGTTTTCATGGAGTTTGAGGATTAAATTCTGATAAATTAGAGGATTGACTTCTCATTTCTCTCTAAATCTATAGAAACTCGAATTTGATCTTCTAGTTGTTTGTGATTTTGTTCAACAATTGTGCAGGTACTTGGTCACTCCATGGCTTTCTAGTCCTCATCTTCAGACAGCCTTCTTGAGTTTTCACGGACGGCCTCCTCCTGTTACTTATAGACGGTTAGTTCAATTCTTTCTATTTCTTTTTCATTTTAATCTGCATTTTCAGCTTCTTCTTTTTGGATAGATATTAATGTGCTAAGTGTTTATTATTCTTAGACGTTTATTCCGTGCTTTTGATGGTGTAACAATTGCTTTGGACTGGCTAACTTATTCGGATTGTCAGATTTTACTCATCTTCCCATGATTTTGTTTATTTTTAGTTAGCTTGGTTTTTAGAACATTTATGTATGATATTCGAATTTAAAGAATGGGAGGGAATTCACTCTTTAAAATGATAGATGTGGTTTCAGTTTTAATATTATAAATCTTTAACTAATAACAGTTGTCGAGGGTACATCTCACATTATTGATGGTTCTGCTGCTCGTAAAGGTGATAAAACTCCAATTGTCATTGTCATTCCTGGCTTGACCAGTGATTCCCCCTCAAGCTGGAGAATATACATTGTATAATCCCAGCTTGAATAGGAATTTATTGAAAACAGGCTTTGGCAAAGCCTTGGTAAGAATGTCTGCAACTTGTTCTTCTGAAGGAATGTATGAAAGTGTGGCTGTCTTTTTGTTAACTTGATCAGCAATAAAATGCCTATCAATCTCAACATGCTTTGTCCGATCATGTTGAATTGGGTTCTTGGCAATTTGAATAACAGATTGATTATCACACAAAACTTCAAAGTGATCCTCTTGATTAGTGATAAGTTCTTTCAGTAGTTTAAGTAGTCAAATTCCTTCGCATATTCCCAATGCTAGTGCTCTAAATTCAGCTTCAGCACTACTTCTTGAAATGACAGATTGTTTCTTACTTCTCCAAGTTGTAAGGTTTCCCCAAACAAAGGTGCAGTAGCCACTAGTGGATCTCCTTTCAGTAAGGTCTCCGGCCCAACTAGAATCTGTAAAGATCTTAACAGTTCTGTCTTGTGTCTTTTTAAACATTAAACCGTGTCCTGGAGTTTTCTTCAAGTACTTGAGAATTCTATTTGTTGTTGCCATATGCTCTTCAGTAGGATTAGTCATGTGTTGACTTATCACATTTACAGTAAATGCTATATCTGGCATTGTCAAGGATAAATAAATTAGTTTCCCAACTAATCTTTGAAATTTCTCTTTGTCTACCAATGACCCATCTTCTTTGTTAAATTTCAAGCTTGCCTCCATTGGTGTATCAATCGGCTTACAACCAAGAAAACCAGTTTCTTTGAGTAAATCAAGTACATATTTTCTTTGGTTGATCACAAGTCCTTCTTTTGACCTTGCCACCTCCATTCCTAGGAAATACCTTAGCTTTCCCAAGTCCTTGGTTTCAAATTCCTTATTTAACAACTTCTTCAAATTGCAAATCTCTTCTTCATCATCTCCGGTAAGAATTATGTCGTCCACGTACACAATAAGGATAGCTTTCTTATTTGTAGAAGTTACCTTGATGAAAAGAGTGTGATCGGTGAGGGATTGCTTGTAGCCGTTTTTTAGAATGACTTTAGTGAACCTCTCGAACCAAGATCTGGGTGATTGTTTTAACCCGTATAGAGACTTGTTGAGCTTGCACACCTTGTTACTTCCTTCAACAGACTTTAAGCCAAGTGGCAACTTCATATAGACTTCTTCTTCTAGCTTGCCATTAAGAAAAGCGTTTTTTACATCAAGTTGATGTAATTTCCAATCGCAATTTACAACCAAACTTAGGAGTACTCGAACAGTATTCAGCTTCGCCACAGGTGCAAAAGTTTATGTGAAATCTATCCCATATGTTTGTGTAAAGCCTCTGGCTACTAGTCTCGCTTTGTATCGTTGGATGCTACCATTTGAGTTATACTTTACAGTAAATATCCATTTACAGCCAACAACCTTTTTTTCTTGAGGAAGGTCCGTAACAGTCCAAGTAGCATTTTTCTCCAGTGCACAAATTTCCTCTTCAACAACCCTTCTCCATTTTGAATCCTTTAGAGCTTCAGCTATGCTTGTGGGAACCTGTTCTTTATCCAAATTTGCTGTAAATGCTTGAAAAGACTACATCAATGAATTATAACCAGCAAATTTTTCAATAGGATGCTTGGTGCACTGTCTAACCCCTTTTCTAATAGCAATAGGGAAGTCCTCTAGAGTAGGGGAAGTGGACTTACTGATTTTTTCTTCTATTTCGACAGCTGGACCCAAATCCAATTATCGGCAAGCATCAGATTGCAAAACAGCCTCAGGAATATGTTTTCTTTTCCTTGTATAGCAATGGAGTTGTTTGATTGGTGTTGTTTGTGGAATATTTTGAATGTGAGTATGTGTATTTTCAGGAAGGGTATTTAAAGTGGGTATGGGTGAAGTAGTGATAGGTACTACCGGTGGATCAATGGGAGTAGTTACAGGTGACAAATCTGTAGGTAAGGACAAAGTTGGTGGCAATTCTGAAGGTTGAGAATGAAGAGTAGGAGGAGATACCTGATGTGGCTGAAAATCCTTCCATGTCTCCCCTTGAATTTCAGCATGAGTGAAATAGGGATCCTTCTCATAGTTATATCCATAGTGGTAAAAAATCGTTTTGAAGGAGGATGATATCATTTATAACCCTTCTTAAGTGAAGAATACCCAACCAGTACACACTTTAATGATTTAGGATCTAACTTGGACTTATTAGGAGCAATGTTTTGGATAAAAACAGTACAACCAAATATTTTAAGTGGAAGAATGGAAGAGATAGGTTTAAAATGGGGAAAATATTGCAGAAATATAGATTGAGGTGTTTGAAATTGTAAAACCTTACTAGGCATTCGATTGATTAAATATGTGGCAGTTAATAAGGCTTCCCCCCACAAATATTTTGGAATATTGGTGGTAAATAGAAGAGAACGAATAACTTCAAGGAGGTGTCTATTTTTTCTTTCGGCAATACCGTTTTGTTGTGGGGTGTCAACACAAGAACTAATCTGAACTATGCCCTTTTCCCTGAAAAACACACCCAAAGACTTAGCAAAAAATTCACTGCCATTATCAGATTTAAAGAGCTGAATTTTAGACCCAAATTGAGTGAGAACCATGTTATAAAATTAGGTAAAAACACCTGCAGTTTCAGATTTATCTTTTAGCAAATAAGTCCAAGTTATCCTACTGTGATCATCAATGAAAGTGATAAACCACTTACAATTATCAGCATTTTTCACCCGAGAAGGACCCCAAATATCACTGTGGATCAAAGCAAAAGGGTGAGAAGACTTATATGTAGAAGGAGAATAAGTTGATTTAGTATGTTTGGCAAGAGAGCAAACTTTGCAAGAAAAAGAATTTGGCCTTTTATGAATGAATAGAGCAGGAAAAACTTTTGCAAGATAGTGAAAACTAGGATGACCTAAACGATAGTGCCATAACATAACATTATCAACTTTTTCTAAAGCGATGGAAGATTTCGAGATTTCGGTTTTAGTAGAGGCAGGAAGAATGTAGAGACCATTCTGCAAGCTGGCCTTACCAATCATATTCTTCGAGTTCAGTGCCTGCAAAGTACAATCAATATCATTAAAAATTGCAGAGCAGTGCAAGTCGGTGGAAAGTTTACTAACGGAAACGAGATTGCAAGCCAGATTTGGTACGAAGAGAACATTTTTAAGTACAATCTGGTCATTGAGAATAACAGTGCCATGTCCTTCTATTTTGCACAAAGAACCATCAGCCGTTTTGACAGCTTTACCAAAGTTTGGAAAAAAATTGCAAAATAAATCTTTATTACCAGTCATATGATCCGTAGCACCAGAATCGAGGATCCAATTAGGGGACGACTGGGAGGAGAAAAAAACTGTAGCATGAGGTTTACCTTCTGGTTCTTTTATGACCAAATTACCTTATGATTGAGCAGCAGAACCAGAAAAATTTTCTGGATTTAAAGTGATCTCCGGAGTAGGAGAAGAAGTTGTGGACATCATCTAGATTGGAAAGAAACCGTAACCTAAGCTGATACCATGTAGAATTCAGAGTAATTCTCTGTAATTTCTTATTCTTTTCAATATGACAGATTACATATTTATATACAAAATATCTCTAAAGTAGAAAACTCTAAGAAAGGAAAAATAATAATCCTAGGATATGATCCCTTAAAATAAGGGATTGTAGAAATCTATTTGCAAAATCATATCTCTATAGGAATGGTAACAAATCATATCTCTATAGGAATGGTAACAAATCATCTCTATAATTCCTACAGTTGCTGTGTGTGCAGTATGTGAAGCATCTTGCATTCAACATGACAAGACAGGGTTGGAGTGTTGTTGTATGCAATCATCGTGGTCTAGGAGTTGTTATAATGCTGGGTGAGTTTCTCATGCAGCACTCTTTTGGCCTAGATTCTTAATCATCTTAGTCTTTTGAGAAATGACCATTTTCAAATTCACAAAGTCTACCTAAATGATTTTATTTTCAGTCTGATTGCTGTTATATGCTGGATGGACTGAATATGTATGGAAAATCATTGACCATATACGCTGTGAATATCCAGAAACTCCTCTATTTGCTGTTGGAACTAGTATTGGTGCCAATATTCTGGTATATGAATTGTTCTGATTATGTTTATGAGCGTAATAAATGTAATTAAGGATTAGGATTTGCATTTTGTTTTGAATTTTTTCCTTGGAAGAGTTAGTGCTTCTATTTTTCTTTTTTATTCGTATCACTCGTGAAGATCTCTATGTTGTTTAGTTGAAATTTTTTTATTCAGATGAAAGTTTAGGTAAAAGAAACATGTCAAATCTAATACTGAGCTTAATTTTGGATTATGAATACACACTGATTTTCCATTTGTTCCTAATGCACAATATTTGCTACAAAAGATAACTGTGGTTTAGATCACGCCGTTAAAGTTCAATGTATATGTAGTAATGTCCTTGTTCTATTTGACAATTGATTTCCATATTGCTAAATTCTTAATATTTTGTTTTTCCACCTTGAGTTGTTTAATCTATTGTTTGCAAGCCCAAACATATGCTTTCTTCTTCCATTTTCAGGTAAAATATCTTGGAGAGGATGGCGAAAATGCTCCTGTTGTAGGGGCTGCGGCTATAGCTCTCATTGGGACCTCTTGGTTAGTATTTTATTGCCATCACACAATCAAGTCTCCGATCTCTATATCATCTGCATTTTCAAATATCCTCTTTTGCTCCTACTCTCTGTAAGGTTCTATCACACTATAATAATACATCCACTTTTCCCTAAAATAGTGGAATAGGAAAA